GCGGAAAAATAAATAGTGATAGACATCGGACAAATATTCAACACTGTGGTGAAACGTTTGGACGTTTTTACTGAAAATCTCCAATTAGACTTCGCGCTGATGTGGAGATTTCATGTCGGGAAAAGACGTGGAAACATTTTAATACAGGAGGAGTGAATGAAGGCATTCAGAAATATGGCAAACAGAACCAAACAGACTCTGCTGGTGCGTAAAAGCTTCAAATATATTAAAAATAAAAGATAAAGCGTTTAGTATTTAACAGCAAAACCTAAAGTATATAGCAATGCTAGAATAATAGCTATTTCTATATTTGTATTCAGCATTTGATTAGATTAGATATGCTGTATTGATCCACATTTTGGAATTCGTCAGAGCAGCACGTAGGTAAGACATAGCACAATAATTATAAAGTAAAACCAAAAGTAAAGATATATCAGCAGTATAAGATAAACAGTAATTATATACACCAACGTATTTTTGTATATTGCCTTGATACATAGATAAATATATATAGTAAATACATAAAGTAACCATGTAGCTTATTGGCCCACATAAAATGTATTTTCTGTAAAATAAGCCAATTTCTAATTTCTGTGTATTAACGTAAAGTCAGCGCTAATGATAAGAAAATAAAAGTGTTTTTATATCTACATTTTCTTCTGAATAAAGAATCGATTATTGTTATAGCTGTTGTTATGGTCCGTTTGTAGGGCCTTGATAGTTGAGGCACTTTTCTGAATACTTCCTCGTGCATACCTGCATCTCCCCGTGCATTTCCTGCAGCCCCGCGAGGACACCCCGGGCTGTCAACTGCTCACTTCCTCTCCCTTATTCCGGGATTTACACTAATATTTACACAGGATAGGGTTTAATACGTGGAGTGCGCCGCCTCGGTCCCCACTGCTAATGTCACGCAACATGAATGTGAACATCATTGTTTTTATGATGAGTGGCACACCTGGTGATTTATTATGTGTTAAAAGATGGGAGCGCGTAATTAATAATGTTATCATCCTGATTGTGGCTCGTTAATTTAAACACTGGGGAGATAAATATGAATACCACACAAGCGTAAAACACGTCAAAGCAGGGGGTTTTTTTTAGGAGAGAGAGAGCAGAAAGGAGAGGAAGAAGAGATGACCTATCACATCTCTGTTTATTAATAACACAGAAATGCAGCCGAGATCTGAGCCATTTAATGAGGCATGGGCGGGATCTCTTTTTGTTGTGTTATTGATTTGTCATGTTACCACAACAGGACCACACATGCCTGTCCTGTATGTACATCAGGGGGAACATCAGATAACCAGCAGCATGTGGGGATAAGGGTCACTGACAGATTCTCAAAATGTGTTAAAAGAATGTTACGCACAGGTAAATGCAATGAGACCGATTTTAATAAAACTGTATCGAACAAATGTGTTTTTGTGCGTAAAGGTTCGCGTCAAATGGCACCGAAGGCCCGCAGGTTTTCCTTCTGGTGGCCCCAGTCCCCCTAGGCCACTTCATATCTGTGCCGTTTGGAGAGAAGCGCTCTGGTAATATAGCTTAGGGAACGACGCGCTATAAGAGAGGATACTATTTTCCTGAGTAAAATAAAAGTGAAAAAAACATTTGAACTCCTAAAAAAATGTTTTTAAATATCAAATGTAAATACTTTCAGTTCTGCCGATTATATGTGGGTATAGGGTGGATGATGCCTGCAGGAAAACTCCGTGAGCTGAAGTGAGGGCTTTGAAATTGGGACTAAAAGGTGGGCAGTGGGCACATTTATTTTTACGGATGCACTAACTACACTAAACAGTGCCATGTCACTGTTTATATTGCTCTACGTCAGCAGGGCCATCGGCCGAGTGTATGTATACAAAGTGTAACAATCTTTAGAGATCATTCTTTTCGACATTAATACTAAAATGTACAATTCCATCCACTCTAAAGAGGACTTTGACCGATCCAAAGTTTACGAAAACACGTTTTCTCTAATCAATAAATCCAAGAGTTCTCCTCTATCAGTTCCACATGGAGCCTACTCGTTTGAAAACATGGTAAAAGTTATTAATAGGCTATGCTATGTGAATAATAATTTTACAAAAATAAACAAATAACCTGATTTTATATTGACAAAAGACTGACTTGGTCCTCGCTGTTGTGTGTCCGTCAGTCAGTGTTCAGGCTGTTTCCTCCTATCAGCTCACACTTTGCTCACTTTGTCGACTTGTTGTCAGCCCGAGAGGAAAGGTCTGCAGCGCGTGGTCCTACAGCAAACATATTCCAAGGAAGATTGGTTAAAAACATGAATAATAAAACTATATTTTAAAGGACAAAAACGATTGTCGTGTCACAGATGCGTGAATGTAACGAAATCTAAAAGTCGTAGAGTAACACATGTGCTAAAGGAGCCTGTTGTGTATGATAGTAATAAAAGCCTTATTTCACACTGTATGGAAACTGTTCCTTTAAAATAAAAGGAGCTACAGAGATTTCAGTTTTTGGTATCATTCGCCGTTAACTTCTGTGCAATGAAAGTAACTGAAACCCCTGATAAATACTTGAGTCGTTGGCCATTCATGTATCAATAAAGTGTTTTTAATTAACATTCCGAGGGCCATGGATTTCCAATAAAAGTGAGAGGACAGTCCTTTTATTTATGTATTTTATTCCTACGCAACTGTATTCTTAAGAAGCCAATATTGTGTTTTTTCACCGAAAAAAAATCACATTCTTTTCATTTTTTGTAAGCGCTTGCCACATGAATTCTGCTCTGAAACTTCCTCTACTTTCACAGCACTTTATTTTAATGTGTTGACATGTGTTGTTGCTTTGGATTGGGGTGTGGCTTGATGAGGCTTAATGTTAAACAAGTGTATTTTCTCCGTGTAAAATGTCCTCTCAAACTCAGGAGTTCATGTTGAACTGTGCTTCGGCCGCTCTGAGGCCCGCGAGCGGATTCCAACACAGTCTCTTCCCATTCTGATCTGCTCCTGTATTTTGTCTGTTATCACCTGAGTATTTACAAAGGGGGCTTCCGACTCGGCCATGATGAAGTGAGTCGGTATCGATGGCATCATATCTGATTAAAAAAAAGAGGAAGAAAAAGTCTGCATTTGGTGATGGTTTACACTGGTTTTGACTTTACCATTTATTTCATTTCATATTTGGGTACAATCTAAATAAACTGAGGGCTAAATCACTACTCCTAACTTTAAACTTGTACATTTCTCTGAATATTTTTGCAACCTTTTCCATAATTCTTCTTATATTTTGAATCTGATAAACTGTACATAATTTATTTTACTTTGTCCGTTCCTTTATTTACTTTTTGCATATTCTTATATTTCTGGTTCACAAGTGTTTTAAAAGGTAATACAATAGTTTCATAAAAGTGATTAAAAATGTGTTTATATGCACCATTATAATCAAATTCCTCACCTATCTATCTATCCATTTGCCATTACCAACACATTGCAGTAGTTTATTTATGCTCAGAGACTCCCGCGGAGAAACATCCAAAACAAATAAGAGTTAATCCTCTAACTGCTTTATCCCATTAGACCCCCGCTGCTGCCTTCACGCTTAATTCAGAGACTCCCGGTGTAAATGAGACCTTCCGCTCTGTATCAGCAGCTCCAAAACAACACGTCTTCGCTGCTGAACATTAGACTGGACCTGATAATCTGAGAAGCTACAGGGCAATACAGGAGGAGAGGTCAAGTCCAGCTGCGGCCTCAAGTGCCTCGTGTGTTTGTCTGTGTGCGTTTACTGACTGCAGCGAAGGCATTTTGTCCAGTAGAGTTCCTATCTTTAGGTATGTGGCATAGGAGGAAAGGGGCTAAGTAAAAGTCATAAAAACGCAAAAAAAGTAGACAAAAAAGCCTAAAGGTATAGATTCGTTTTCTTTTATGAACTGGAGGTGGCATTGGGTTTCGTCAAAGCTGCCTCCAAATAAAGTATTATTATGTATTATAACTGGTGTGAATCCAAAAAGGTAACTCCTTATGTGATAACAGTTTAACATGTCCAGTACCTTAAACAAAACAATCTGCCTCTTCTCGCTAGATTCCATTTCTTGAATCCAAAAAAGCTATTTTATTATGTATGTGGCTATTTGGCTGAGTTAACACCCAACCCTGAAGAATGGGAATCAACTTTATTCCTTTTAGTTTTTCCAAACGTATTAAAAGGAAAACTACATTTCCAGAGTGAGCCCATGCGTAAAAGACCCAGTGCAGCCCCTGGTGCTTCAGGCAGATTTGGGGGCAGGAGCAACTCTTTGTGGTGCCTGTGCAGCTGAAATATGCATATAGGCCTATAAGTTAGTGGAAAAGTTGCGCACTTTACAGCCGGACATTGCATGAATGACGTTGGGAGTTGAATTAAAATGACTGACACTCATATTGAAATAAAACATGCAGTGCAGAGCGCAGACACTTTTTTCCTGCTGGGGCAGGGGAGGCGTGGATCTCGCTCACTTTTGAAATTCTCCTTGCAGCAGTCGCTTCTCCTCGAGGCAGGACTCAGAGGACACCTCCCCGCACCGACCGGAGGAGAAGCGAGGGAAGGTTTGCCTCTATTCTCTTGAACTATGTTTTGACGGTGGGACGATTTAAAAAAGTTTACGGACTGAATCAGATAACCGGGGAACTTGTGGGAATACTCTAAGAACAGTCGAGCCCAGACTCTCTCTCTCAAGGAATGTGAAAACCCCATTTTGGCGCATGTTCCTCTCCATTGTGCGCAGCCTTCTCCTGCTTTCTACGCGGTTGGAAAGCGGAGGAGGGACGGCTTCTCTAGACTCGATCTCTCGCCTATGGACGACGGCGGTCCCCTCTCTCCAAAGGCGAATGCTTTCAGTATTGCCTCTCTGATTTCGGCTGCAGAGCAAGCAGGAAACGCGGCGTTTGAGAAACAGAGCACCGGCCTGGACAAGCCAGACCTGCATAACCACAGCTCCTATAAAATGCACTACAGCACTGTCACCCGGGAAATGGAAGGTAAATCACCCTGCTGATGCCCGTAGAGCTGCTGTAGCATGTGTAGCCTTTGAACTGACACAACACCCGAGAATCTGCTCGGTTAATCGAGATTTTCAAAGCGCAAAACCACATTTGAAATGCATGAATGAAGTTAGAACACATTTATTCTGGCACAGCTGTTGAAATATAATGCAATTCAGTCCTAGTAGTGACACTCGGGGAGAAGTCTAAACACAGAGCAACAACAGGGGTGGAAAAAAGTTTCCAAAACTCAAAAGTGTTCAACAAAAGAAAATCGACTTTATTCGTAGCGAGGATCACATACATAAAAGACGAGACCAAGAGGCGGAGGGTTTACATGGGCACCCTGTGCGTAATGGTAAAAACAGACCATAATGAGCATATCCAGCTCGGAGAGGGTGATCATCCAGTCCATAGATCTATTTGTCCAATAACGAGAAAGCAACAGTCACCTGCTGCCTATTTGTTTGTTCATGCAAATCAGTGTGTTTACCTTGTAAACCGTTTACTCTCCTCTCTGCCGGGCACATCCTCTATTGTTTGCTAACGGGGGGTGTTGTGGGCGATACCTTATCCAAAAGTTAAATGAGTGCCGGAAAGCCCATTAAAAAGGGGCGCACTTCACTGTCAATCAGTCTCGTCCCAAGGCGAGGAAAGGGCACATTACCTGCAGTTCCTTATCTAAATAGAAATAAGAACCGGTTTTATCGCAAAGGGGAGGCCCTCTGCGTCAGATAAGAGAGGTGACTGGGTTGCAGTGTAACACACTGACGCAGAGCACAACAGAGGCGGAATCGATCCGCAGCAAACACTCACTCACACGAAGCTCGTTTCTGCGAGCAGCTTTCACCGCAGGGTTTTGGAGACATTTCGTCACTATTCGGACTCTTTTAGATCAGGCACACTGTAGCATGCTGGATGCAACCTCAGGGATTATTGAGCAGCCGAGACGGAAACCTTTAAACCGAAAGGGGTGCATTTGTGTGTGACATCTGCACCTGGATATCACTGTTTTTACTTTCTGTATAACCGAGAAAAAGTGCACGGCATATTTAGTAAATCCAGTCTTTTGGGATGATTTCAGCCATATCCAGTCCGTGGCTGACGCAGCTGTCCCATTTTTGCGATGTTGCAGCCTTCACGACGAGCAGCCTGAGCAGCCTCAACACGCCGGGGGGCTACCACCTCTCCCCGTCCCCCGGGGACCCCTACAGCCAGCATGAGGCCCACTTCGAGCCCTGCCCGGCCGCCCAGCACAACTACAACTACCCGGGCTCCAACCCGGGCCAGAACCCGCAGAGCGACGGGGGGACTCCCAACTGCTCCTCGTCCTCCAACAACTCCACTCCCAACGGAAAAACCCTCGTGAAGAAGAACCCCAAAGTGGCCACCATTAACGTGCAGTTGGAGATGAAAGCTTTATGGGACGAGTTTAATATGCTGGGCACGGAGATGATCGTTACCAAGGCGGGCAGGTGAGCACCAATAGTTATTATTCCCTTAATGCATGTGTGGGCACACGAGAAATAATGCAGAGCAGATTAAAGGCTTTAATCTAACAAAAATACCAATATTAGCCGAGTTGATATCCTGCGTAAAGGAGCAACCATATTCAAAACGTTTGGTTTTTAAATATAACATGCTAATATTTTGAGCAGTTTTGCTTATCACACAAACCAGATATTCAGGGTATATTTATCGATGTATTTCGTGTTTTTTAAATTAGATATCATAGCACATATAGGGATACAGTTGCTTTACATATAAAGGTTTAGTAGTTTCGTTGTTTGGAGTTCATAATGGATAACCCCTTTGTTTGGCTGTTAACGCAAAAATATGTCTTTCATTTTCGTTTTTCTCATTTCATTTCAAAAATTGAAAATATATTTTTGTATTGATATATGGCTTCTGAAACATGAAAAACAACGTATATTACTTTCTTATTTAAAAAGGGCTCATGTCTGAACAATTGTATTACATTTTAGCACTAATAAAGTCCTATTTTTCTTGCAATGCCCAAAAATGCCAATTAAATATCGGATTAATTAAATTAACGTGTCGAACATCGGAGGGTTTGTCTTTACAACACATTTTTAATTTAAAGCTGTGGTTCAGGCCTGCTGCTGGATTCTGTTTAATTCGAGGTCAGAAGCATGGAGGCTTGTGTGTGTTGTCTTGTGTTGTGTGTGTCAGCTGTAAACACCACGCCGTTTTTTGGATCCAGCAGGGATGTTGTGGCCCTCGGCTGGTTTCCTTCACAGTCTCAGGTTTACGCACCGCTGTTATACGGAACATTATGGCCTTTAATCTGAGAGTCTTTGCATGTGTGAACGGAGATCAGCCTCTATCTAAACTGATCAGAGAGCTATAGTGTTTTTACTCGGGCCTCGACACGTGTTTTTTACTTGTATTTCCTCGTTCCTCTGAATGCTTCCCTCTCACGCTCAAGAAGTGGATGTAAAACTTGAATTAACACACACAAATCTAGTTTTGATTTTGTTATTAATTGTCCATTATAATATGTTTTTTCTTATCATTTCAAAATGGTGATGATATGATTTGTTTGCCTCATAAAGATGTTTTGCCTTTTAGTTTTCCAAATGTTAAAACAATCTTTTTTTAATTTGAAAATGTATAAGTTATGCTATCCCTTGTTTGCATCTGAAGGGCAATAATATTACCATCTTTCACCTTTGACCTCGTTTGGAGAGCCAATAAAATGCTACCCTAATGTTAAGCACTATTTTTTGTTAACCGTGAAACAGTGAACATGGCGCGTAAAAGCGTCTCCAAATGCTTTCCTGACTTTATCCTGTATTATCGTAATATAAAGAGGCATGAGATAATTGATCTAATCCTGAAAGTGAGGGTTGAGTTTCTGACAGGAGAAAGCAGATCTGCAGCAGAGCACTTTAGAGGCTCCTTCAGCCTCACCTAGCCACAACACGACGTTAATTGAGCGTTGATTTTAGGATCCCTTTCACTGACTCTGCGGATTACTCAACTTCCAACCCGTGTTCTTAGGGGATATGGATCTGCCCTGTGTAGTTACCTAGATAAGATGGAGGAGAAAAACAAATGTTTGTGGTCATGGCCGCTAAACGAGCCCCTGCATCTGAAAGACCAAGAGCGATGCAATCCACTTTTATCCACAATCCACAATTGTTGGAGACAAAGCAGACACGTGATTGCAAATAGGAGAAATATAGAGAGCACTGCATCCAAATTATTCCATGTTTTTTCATACACAATTCTGGATATTTGTTGGAACATTAATGACACCTCGTCTATACCCATTACGCGCAAGTGTGTATTTCCACTACATGTTTGTAGCCCTTCATGTGTCTGGAATTCGTCAAATCAGCAGAGGAGAAGTTAACGAGTCTTTTCACGAGTTGCGAAAGCAGAGCAAAAAAGGCAACAAACCCAAAGCTCCATTCAGATGAAGGAGAGTTTTATCTGGTTACGCACGGACAGGATCACGTCATGTCCAAAAGCTCGGAGCTCATGTCCTCCTGTTGCTCGGGCCAAATGAAGCTCAGCAGGCCGGGAGCTGCACGGCCCTCTGGCTTTGCACAAAAACCATTTGGCAAAAATAATTAGTTTACTCCTGTGACGAATTCCATTCATTTCTAATAGTTAAAAAGCACCGTTCACACACTGAGGATCCAGTTTTCTGAATACTAAATGTGAGCACGTGAAGGCAGCCAAAGCAACACATAGCCTATAACAGTCGATGTGTGTTTTTCCTTTTCCAGGAGAATGTTTCCAACTTTCCAAGTGAAAATATTCGGGATGGATCCCATGTCAGACTACATGCTGCTGATGGACTTCCTGCCCGTAGACGACAAACGTTACAGGTAACTATTTGCAAAACTGCGCACACATCGGACACTGCAGGAGCGTTAAAATTGGACTAGTCCGAAATATTTTTGGCAAGGGGCACAACACATTGCACTACAGTGGTAAATTACACCAAGCAAACTACATTTGAAATAAATAATAAATCGGAAATAAATATAGCCTAAGCACATTTATAAACATTTCCAAACTGAACCGATTCATACTACAAATATGTTGGTGACTATTGGAGAGATATTCGCTATTTGTTAGGTTATGAGGCATATTATAATTTCTGAATAGCTTCCGTTTGTGTATCTCATGTCAGCAGATGCATTGACATTTAAGGCAACACTTTTATTGATGATGTGGGAACATTTCTAATTGTAGATGTTTCCATCTCTCAGGTATGCTTTTCACAGCTCCTCGTGGCTGGTCGCCGGTAAAGCGGACCCCGCCACGCCGGGCAGGGTGCACTACCACCCGGACTCTCCGGCCAAAGGCGCGCAGTGGATGAAGCAGATTGTCTCTTTTGATAAACTCAAGCTCACCAACAACCTGCTGGATGACAACGGCCATGTGAGTACACTACTGGAAATGAATCCATGCAAAAAAGACGAGCATAACTTCTACAAACACACAGTGTGGGCCGAAGTTCATTTCGACAAATTAGAGTTATCATGCAGACGGCCGATAAAGTCACTATGCGAATAATTATTTAATACACAACGACTTAATTTACTGTATTTGTAGAATTTTCATATTTGAGAGCCTTGTACGATAAACCAACACCTTAAAAGGTCAAACAAAAACTAGACCAACTGGTGATGCATAAACTGTAAACTCATTGAATTAACGTTACTGTGAAGGAGAGGTTTGGCCCCCTCAAATTGATTAATACGCGTGATTATACAATAATACAACTTGTTATTTGGACTAATAGTCCGATGTGGCCAAAAAGCTTTTCTCACTCCACAAAATGGCTCAGCAAATCAGGCTTTGCTCCAACAATGACGGAAAGAAAGTAGAATATTCCATCATTGATGGGAATTGTTTCACCCTCGCGCTGGATCTTCCTCTCTGAGTGATTGTTGTATTAGTTTTACCGGCGGTAATGGCTATTTTAGATTAAATGGGAAATGGTTGGAAAAGCCCATTGCTTATGCATGGAAATGTGGATATATCGAGACGATGATGTTCTGATAATATTAGGGCACATGGTCTTTAGATACATGTCTGCAAATGTAACGGGAGCGTCAGGTTATTTCTGTATGTAGCCTAATGGTATTTACCAAACCGCTTATTTTTGTATCCACAAATACGTATATTGAATATGTTTGACAACGTCACATGCGATTATTTTAAAGCCCACCATTCTAACTCGTTTTGTTTTCAAGATAGTTTATTAAGAATATATTTGTTTTATGTTATCCAATCAAGATATATTTATTCATTTGATCAGTTTTTCCATTTTTTTTATAATCGAAAATAGTCTTACTGAGTTTCAGGAGATCGTTCCTTCAGTGCTGATTCAAGATTCAAAGGCTCTATTGTCACATGCACAGTGTATTTATGAATATCTTGAGTCTCCAACAATGCAACCTAAATATATATAAGACATAAAACAATAATATGATTTATTTTTCCAGATCATCCTGAACTCCATGCACCGATACCAGCCCCGGTTCCACGTGGTCTATGTGGACCCCCGCAAGGACAGCGAGAAATATGCCGAGGAGAATTACAAGACTTTTGTTTTTGAGGAGACCCGCTTCACAGCAGTCACAGCCTACCAGAACCACCGGGTAAGAGACCTTATTACCCTGTGTGAAAGAAACGTGGGGTGGTGTGCAGAAACTGACCATGGGGCTTTACCTTAAATATTATATTAATGGATTAAGTTGAGTGATACCATGAGAAAATAATACCATAAAAAGGTCACTTTTAACTAAAATATTAATAATCAAATTGATATTGATTGTGATTTTTCTTTGGATAAATGCATGACGATCCTACGAAAATCAAAATGTCTTCTTATACGCGCTTTTTTGTTTTGCGTAAATGTTGCCTTTACTCTGCGCTAGCTGTTCTGCATCGCTCATTTTTTCCATCAGACTTGGGGTCTGTTTAGATTAACACATGAGTGCATTCAGCAGCTATTCAAAGCGAATCTGACGAGTGAAACATTGGAATAAAATGTGGCTGCTATCAAAAAAGTAATCTGATTGGTTGCGTAATAGTGATTGGAATACAATGCAAAAGCTCCTGATCCTGCTAAGACTAACCAACTTATATCTAGTCAAAACATTCTAACTGAACTTGTTTTGAGAATAATGAGAAAGAGCTGCTTGTGTGGGATGATGACGTTTGTTTATAGAAATCTTATTTAAATCATTACTATTATATCTCACACTTGATTCAAGTCTGTATCAACTCAAATCTAATGATGCCTTCAGATGGACGTTTTTTAGAGTGTATTTCCATGGTCGCACTGTGAACAGGAGATACAATAACTTTGTCCTTTTTTATATTAAATATGACACAATAATTCATAATGTGACTCATGAAGTGAGAACATGAAACATATTAACATTTGATTTGAATCTTGAACAATTATAATTGTGTAGCATATCACTACTAATTATTTAGGACATGAATGGAATTCTACAAATGAGATACTTTGCAGCTCCAAAGGTTACAAAATAGTTTAGAAATAAATGCTAAATAAGCTTTATATTAACTGGCAGTTATATTAATTCACATGTGTTTTAAATAACATGAATGGACATGATGCTGAACAGCAGACCTGTAACATTTCTCAAATATTATTAAAAACAAAGTGTAGTGTTCAAGATATGGACAGAAGAGCTTTCCAATCCAAAATGGCCAGCCCCATCAAGCTACTCTACCACAGCTGTGATTTAGGAATCAAATGCAATGCCTTCTCAGAATGACTTTGTGTACGAGTGCACTGAGGTTTATTTGATGTTCTGGATTTCAGATCACGCAGCTGAAGATAGCCAGCAATCCCTTCGCAAAGGGCTTCAGAGACTGTGACCCAGAGGACTGGTGAGTGTGCTCTCAACATAAAGCCCGCTGGCATGTTTCCACATGGTGTAGAAATGTTCAACACAGCACAGAGTGCACTTGCAAAATAGTTTGGCTGTTTGTCTAATCTCACACAGTTGCCAGATGGGTGGAGTTTGCCATAATAACAACCGCAATGTGTGCCATGACGTTTACAAATCAGGGCATATTCCTTGGAAGTCAACAGACCATGTTCTCCCGTTAATGGCTAATTACCACACGCACTCGTAATTGTAACAATAAAATAAACCACACCCAACTGCAAAACACAATGCACAAACGTATCCAAACGTATCCAAACGCTGCTCATCCACCCCTGCAAATGTATTTTTTCTTCGGATCATTAAGTAAACACGCTATCACGCTAAGGTTTATGGGAATTTGTTATTAGTTTGCAGAACAGGCCAATCTGAGTCATGTAATAGGTGGCTTCGTTTATTGTACATTTGGTTGCCTGTCAATGTGTTAAAGTGAATTACACGCAACAGTGTAAACTCTTAATATGTGCATTCATCATTTTAATATAAAGACATGGTGCCTTTTGACATTCATTAACTGAGTGTAACTGAATCCTCTTTTCTCCCTGCTCCAGGCCCAGGAATCACAGACCAGGCTGTCTGCCAATAATGAGTGCTTTTGCCAGAACAAGAAACCCAATGTCGTCCCCGCCTCCGCAGAACGGCTCTGAGAAAGGTCTGCAGCTCGCTCTTTGTTTCATTTCACAACTCGTGCCCGCTATCAAATATAAACCATATTCATATTAAGTTATTCAGCCTTTAGAGGAAATGTTTTGCTTTCATTTTTGGCATCTTTCACCTCATTTTCTTTTCATTTTGTTTCATTAAGTTCAGCACAATGCTGCATTCACAGTCCAAGTCAACCACTACTATAGTACAGGGTATTGTGCTATCATATACCAGATGATAGATTTATAATCAGTAAAACCTGCAATGAATAATACTTTTTCTTGACATAAAATGTATTTGTTTATTAGTTCAATAATAATCATTAGTTTCACCCTGGCTTCAAACAACCTGTAATCCATCAGAAGGGATTCTATAGCTCTGGTTTATAAAAAAAACAAAACTATTTTGATTGTATTTGAATGCATTTTTTGGACAATAACAGATGTTAGTATTAATAATATATGATCATTTGTTTAAATATATAATATCTATCTAAATACTATTTGACCTTGAGGATAATATAACAAATATTAGTCATTTTAGGGGTTTTCAATTGTGGAATTATAATTGTATTATCAGTACCCCCTGCAATCTGTTACTGGCTTAAACACACACACACACACACACACACACACACACACACCACACACACACACACACAACACACCACACACACACACACACACACACACACAACACACACACACCACACACAGCACACACACACACACACACACACACACACACACACACACACACACACACACACACACACACACACACACACACACACACACACACACACACACACACACAGCCTGCTGGTGTTCACAACACATTGGCTAGCTCTGACTGTTTTCTCCTGTCTTTCTTTAGAGGACAGCAGAAGGGAGTACGAGCGGGACCCCAGCGGCACGCCCATACACGGAGACCCGGCCCACCAGCTGATGTCCCGGGTCCTCAGCCCCGCCCTGCCCGTCCCGGGGGGCCTCCACGGCGTCTCACTCTCCAGCGGCAGACCCAGCCCCCCCCATGACCTTCGCCAAGACCCCCACGGTCTCCCGCCGGACACCCTGCACCACCACCCCTACAAGTACCCCACCACCTACGAACACTACCTGGGAGCCAAGACCCGGCCCTCGCCCTATCCTTTACCCGGCATCAGAGGACACACTTACCACCACCACATGAACCCAGCCACGGCTAACATGTACTCAGCCACCAGCGGCCCCTCTAACTATGACTACGGGCCCCGGTAAGGAGCGATGCATTGTGGGAAATGGAAACAGGAAAGGCAACACAGTCCTGTCTATTGATGGCAACCTGTGGGGTGCGTCCACCGCCTGAAACTCTGCTGGATAAACCCCGTATTTATTTAAAGGAAATGCATCTCTGCGCTAAGCACCTGCTCTGAGTCCTTTCAGAGGCCTGCTTTGACCTTTGAACCCGAATGGGAAAAGCTGCACGGCGAGCGGTGCGGACATTGAGCCAGAAAACAGAGGAGGCAGGAGGGACCTCTCTTTAACACGGACAATACCTTTGATCACAGACTGGAATTGAATTTTTTTTTTGTGTTGGATGCACTTTTTGATTTGTTTGTATTGCTTTCAAAAAAGCCATATGTTATATAGTACATCAACCTTCTAGGTAGACGAGATGTTTGCATGTTGAGCTCATCAGAGAAGGGTGTCGAAACACACCCAAATGTTTTTGTTTGAGGTATAAAAAATAAAAGAAATACAAGATTTGATTTTGAACATCTTGAGCCGCTCTGAGAAGCTTGTACCATGGCACTGACTTGCAGCAATTCAAAGTAAATAAATGAAGCAGAATGACTGTTCTGTATCTGTAAAATAAACATTAAATTCTTGTAATTCATAAAAATCTTTGAGCAGATCTTCCATTCAAAGCTTTGCCTGCTGTTGCACTGCTGAAGGGGGAAATAAGCTTACCTCACTGAGAGCATTGTTCTGGTTTCTCTGACCGGATCTGCCCTGCTTCATTGGGTTGAGGTGTCTGTTGTTCCTGCAGTCGTTGGAAGTCAGGACCAGGAGGCTGTCTAAACATTAGCCTGCACTGTAGTTCAAATGTTGAAATCTGCAGCTGGTGCTATGAAAAAAAAGAGGAAGCAAAACACATAAATGCACTCATCGACCGTACTTCCAACTTCTACACTTCCCTCTTGAATTTTCTGTTAAGTGAGTAATGAAAATAATCTAAAACAAGCTCATTTAAAACTATATTAATTTCCATAAATTAAATTAAATAGGAAAACTGCTAACGAGGGCCTAAAGTATAAGACGGATAAGAAAAAAGAAAAAAATTGGAACACTAATACTTTTTTGTTATCTAAAAGTCATGCAGCATTCTATTTTTGCAAAAGATTTTGTAAAAAAAAAAACACATTTTGAAAAAAGTATTTTCAAAATCTAACTTCCAAGAAAAAAAAGAACCCGTCATGTTATTCAAAGTTGAAAAAAGACAGACTTTTAATTTCCTCTCTCCCCGAAAGGATATCATTGGTCATATTTAATGTGACAGTTGGGTGATTTTTAAAGAACGCCACGGTGTCCTATCTGTGCGGCCATTTCCATCTCCTAGTCCTATGAGGAATGCTTTGTTGTCAAGGTTAATCTCGTTGGGGGAAAACAGTCTGCTTTGGGATGTGTGTCTGTCACGATACAAAAGGAAACATTCCCTAATGATTCATTTCAATAATGTATTTTTCCTCCTTGAACCCAGCAGGGGAAGGATGCCTGAGGGCGCCTGACCTCTGACTGTTTAATGGCTTGTAAAGGTGTCAAAGGTTAAATAATGTTTCCACTCATTTAAACGCAGGCTAATTGGTTGTCGATTTTGTTGTTGTTATTCGGGGGCTGAGTAAAGCTTTTACTTTACAATGAAAGTGTATTATGAAGGCAACTTAGCGTCATTAAAAGATATCAAATAATCAAATTGGCCTACAATGTAACCATGCCCTCAGTTAGTGCTATTTTACTTAAAAATCAGGCATTCATAGTGTTTTTATTTTTTTTAATTGAGCAACATTTTGTATCTCATTGCCTGTTTTGCGACATCTCAAACAGGCCTTTGATCAACTCCTTATTGTAGTTTCAATGGCTTGTAAAGGTGTCAAAGGTTAAATAATGTTTTCACTCATTTTAACGCAGACTCGTTTGCTGTAAAAAAAAAAAGGTGTTCTTTTGTGCTTTGATTTGCAATTGAACTGAAGTCAATATGGAGAATGAATGGCAGCCTAAAAGATCGATTTTAGCTACTTAGCATCATTCAAATATGTATAATATAATGGCCCTACTTGACAAGCAGGTGTCAATTTCACTTTAGCTAATTATTCCCTCATAAGAGCACCACTTTATTTACAATTCAGAGGCATTAACACAGTGTTTGTATTTAAACATTTGAGCAACATTTTGCTTCCCTTTGCTAAATCTTTGACAGGCTGTTGTGAAGCTCCTTAAAGTAGTTAGTCTCTAATGTTAAAGGCTTATAATGTGTCAAAGGTTAAATAATGTTTCCACTCATATGGACACCAATTGGTGGTACAAAACAAAAGAAGAAGATGGTTGGGAAGGTGACTAAAGCTTTTACTTTGCAATAGAACAATATTATGTTGTCACTATGGGAAATTAAGTTTTAATATATCCTGAAATGTCTATTCTAGCTATGTAGCATCATTAAAATAAATAAAATAACACTAATATGCCCATTTGACAAGCAAGTGTTAATATAACTGTAGCTAACTAGTCCCTAATTTAACGTACATTTAGTTAAAGTGAAGTCATAATAAGGTGGACACACACAAATATAACTTCAACAAATCTGTACTTGCTCATAAACATGGCCCTCAGAGCCTGTTCAGTGTCGCTGTTGCTGCCCCTCTCGTCTGGTCAGGAAGCCGCCTGTGGAGCACCGTCGCCGGCCTGCAGGTGCCGAGGAGAGCCGGGCGGAAGTCCAGAAGCAGCGGGAGACGATAGTGAGTTTATCGGTGTTGTGGAAGAGTCAAAAAGCGATATGCGGACTAAATATAGGTTTCACAACGCAAAGGAAACATTACTGGCACTGCTGATGCACAACCGTTTTAGTACAGTCTGTCTAAAGCAGTACGACTGACATTAGCATGGCAAATCTTTACCGGTAAACAATCAAATGTACAATATTTTGCATTTGTTTACATTTCAACTAGCATTAAATAAAAGGATTCAATAAAAGTAGAGTACAACTACCTCAGATTTGAGTTACGTACAGTAGCCTACATGAGTAATATCTCACAGCCTCTTCGTTCTCTCTCACCACCTGCCCCATTAAGAGTGGTCCAAATGTTATCTAAACCCAATCCAGCAATGAAAATGTCCTGCATATGTTGCATTCTTAATAAATGGTGTCCCTGGTGGAGTATGCATCAGTCTGAGGCGACTTGACATTGAAGCCTGAGGGCTGACCTCATTTTGTAACCCTGTCCTACAGTCTTAAGGGACCATATCTATATAGATATTCAAATAAGGCACACGTGAGTCATTTACTGTTTAGCACCTTAATTAAGCTTCGTTATAGCCGACTGAATAAAGTTGTTTTATAGGCTAAGATTACAGATATTTTGAATTATTGTGAAGTACATTTTTTGTTGTTGCAATCAGTGAAACTGCACCTACTGGAGGAATGATCATGAATTGCACCTCAATACCATCTTATATTATCATTATAAAGCGTACATTGGAATATTTGACCACATTACATTTCTTCACGTGCACCTTTAAATGCTTCGGCATGCTTTCAACAGGCCATTTTCAGACACAGTATTTCAATGAGTCCTTCGTTTCACACGGAGGAAAAGAGCAACCCGCTCAGTTACAATACTGTGCCCAGATGTCTCAGTCAGTGAAACAGTGCCAAGGACTTGCCAGTGAAGTATGGAGAGGCAGAGGATGGATGGTAATGCGACCTAAAGCATCCGTTGACACCCAGCTGCATCTGGAACATCTGCAGTGACCGGCCTATCAGGGTCTCCATTAGTTCGCTCCACCTCTGTGTACATTTCTGCTGCCTCGCTGCATGCCGAATCTGGGGACATTTATTAAAAACAAGGCAGGTAAACCAATCAGAGTCCTGTACCTAAACCCCCCCCCCTAACCATGGCCTCTCAACTAATACAAAAGGTACCAGGGTTTATGGTGTGTATGAAGCTGCTGACAGACATTTTATACAGAACATCAAAACACATCATCACCACCGGGCAACAGACTTAATACATTTGTATTAAGTCACATTTGAAAAAATAAATAAAACCAACTTAGCCGTGAGGCGGAACATTGGTTTTGGCTTCTACGGACGGGATTATTTTCCTCAACCATTCATTTCAAATAATCAGGCTCAGTGTGACGTCTCACATGTCCATGAATGCACCCAAAGGCTCAGGGAGTAAAGGCATCCACCTCACTCACTCACTCACTCACACACCAACACCAACAAAAGGCAATGGATAATGTCCGATCCCTGAGCCAGGCTGACCTCTGACCCTCAAGGCCAAGGATGACACACGTTAGGTGATAAGTGAAGCACGGGGGCTATTGTGCACACGGTATCCCTGTCCATTTATTGACTTCCTAAATGATCCATTATGAAGTGATTTATGAGGTCCACCGCCACCCCAACAGGCACTTCTAAAGCCAGCCGGTTGCCGTCTGTTCCAATGGATTCAGCATTTGATTTATCAGAGAATGGACGGAAGCTGGCCCACGCCACCACGAGTGTTTGTTCAAAGCCAACAGGAGGGTTAGGAAGTTAGTATGAATGCGACATGTCACCCGCGGGGTCAGACACAAGAGGTGGAGCTGGAGCTCTGCGGGGAACAGGGACAACATGTCATTAAAAACCAGCCAGAGAAAAAGGTCTTATTCCAGGGGTGTCACAGAAGGCCACATACAGAAAAATATACGAAGGGCTGGGCCGCTCAGTAAAGGAGGTATATTGCCTCATAAGTTCAGTTATAAATTAGCAAAATCAATCAAATGTAGGTAAATGATGCTTGTGAGTGTTGGCAGCTCATCCCTTAAAACAGAAGCCTCAGATTGATTATAATAAGGAGAAATAGGAAGGGTGTATTTCAAGCTTGTTATGGAAATAAGTCATTGGGCTTTTTTCTTATCAACTAAGATATGTAAGAAAATGTTTCCAACTTTAATTGACTGAATTTAGTGGTCGTATTAACACATGAATACTACTGTGTAATATATTTGTACATTTAAGAAGTACAATATAAGACAAGCACAAGTTTCATTTGTGGGCCATACTCCATTATACTTTTAGAATTTGCTGAGGGCCGATTCAAAATGGGCCGTAGTTTGGACACCCCCGGTTTTTTAAATGATAAAAAAAAAGGGAATTCAACAAGTTATGAGCACAGAAACTCATACAAAACAAGAATTTGATGCAAGCAACCAAAACTGCAGCTATTCTCTTTTTCCCCCCCAATGACAGTTGCGTCACAGCTAGCGAATGACCTCGTCTTTCCTCTGTTCACTAACGATTCGGGGCCATTATGCTGGTCTGGCTCTTTGATTTCTCAGGCCCTTCCTGTACAGCATGATGAGCTCTTCAACTCGGGGTCATCCCAGGAGACGAAGCCTTTATGAAGCAGAACGACGTGCAGCGTTTGAAGCCCCCGGCCTCCCAACGCACTGCTGTAAAACATGAGCTCCCATGCTGCTCGTTGACTCAGAGATATTATTAGAGACAGAAAAACAACACCTCTCTATTTTCTCTGGGACGTTCACAACAGGACCACCTTTGGCCTTGTTCGTGACAAAAGTCTGTTTCTTAAAAATACATCTGTATAGAAATTGTGCAGAGATGGCCGACACAGAAGTTAGCATCACAAGGGCTCCTTCGACAACATTTTATAAAAATTGGATTTCGGTATATTGCAGGATAAAAGCTCTGTGGCCAACACACGTTTGTGAACACATTTCCTTCAGCAGGATAATCTCCACATACTAACACCACTTGTATGATTTTTAAAGGGGAAATGCAGTCGCCAGAATTAAAAAGCTAACATTAGGTTACAAACTAATGTATTATATCGCGGTCACATGACTTTATATCACAACCGCTAAGCTAAAGGTGGCTAATATTCAGAGTGCTGGTGTTTGTTAGTGTCGTTTGGTAATCTTTTACCAACTGTCGTTTTGTTATGTCGTAGAACAAAATAAGCTTCAATATGTTAAGAGTGTGTACACCACAGAGCTTATTTCAGGCATTTAAACAAAAACAAAAATTAAAAAACCATTGACTTTAAGACGAGGGGAGTGGGGAAATGCTAACTATCTTTCTGGTTGTAAGCCTCATTCCTGCACCACTCTATATGGCATTGAATGTGAAGTAGATGTAAGATTTAACAATCGTTTCATTCCAAATGCTTTTGATCACCCTTACAGATGATACCAAAACATATCCCTTACTTAATTCTTTAACTTGAGATTTCTTCAGTTTTCTGACATTTTTCATAAACAAAGAAGTAGTACTTGTTAAGAAAATAAAACCAGCTCATACACAGGTAACACTGACCACAGAGAGCCTCTGCAGATCACCAGAAACCACTAAACCAACAGCCCTCTGTTCCTTATGTCCCTGCTGTGATTAACCTTGTTTGACAAATACAGCCCAGGTCAGGCTGTGTGTTAAGCTAAGAGCTGCTAGAATAACAACACACGATTACAGAGCTGCTCAGGTGCGCTCTATACCTCAAATTCAGGTCCACTGGAGCAAATCTCCATCAGATAAGTCAACACAATCACATAGTTGCACACAGCATCACAAAGGCTTCAGCAAACAGGGGCTGGAAATAGTGGTCAACAAGAGCCTCGTGAACTATTTGGAATAGATGGGATATTTCTGTTGGCTTCACAAGTTCTGCCTGTCTATATATCCAGCTGCCATAGGTATATATTTTTTTTTTATACAATAGAAATACTGTATTATGTATTGACGATAATATTGTGTAACACATGCTTGAGAAACACCTCCAAACACCCTAGGGAGGTGTTCCAGGCATGTCCAGCTGGGAAGAGACCGAGGGGTAGACCTAGGACCAGGTGGAGGGATTATATCTCTTCGCTGGCCTGGGAGCGCCTTGGGATCCCCCAGTCAGAGCTGGTTGATGTGGCCAGGGAAAAGAAAGTTTGGGGCTCTCTGCTGGAACTGCTACCTCCGTGACCCGACCACGGATAAGCGGGAGAAGATGGATGGATGGATGGACATGCCCGACGTACGCTGTGTTAACAACAACCTACCAAACCCAGAGTTAACGAGGTGTTTCTGTTCTAATATATCACACATGTTGACCTTCATATTTCTGATGTTAACTGTACACATTGTTTGGGAAATGGCATTTAGATTTTTGAATAGTAATAACAAAAAAAGAATACATCATAAAACAAAATCAGGGACGGCTGTGTAGTATCTTGAAATAATTTAAGGACAAATTGAGAACATATTAGCAGCCCACCAATATATGTATCAGTTTTTCTTTTTTTATTACCTCCTCATTGACTTAATCACCAAGTCACTAAAGTCAGTTGTTGGGTCCAAGCAGAGGCTACAATTGTTATGTGTGATAGTCACATGCAGAATATCTTCACCATTATAGTCCATATGCATCTGTATCTCTCTCAGTTGAGAAAGTTGAAGAAGGTGAGTAAAACATTGTTATATAAGGGCATTGCTTCATTTCCCTGAAAAGCTGCCATTTTGTTCACTGACGCCATTCGGGGCACATTAAAATCAGTATAAAGAACTGATGAAGAGTCCATAAATCCTCCCAGAGCTTCGAGGTTCAGCCAGTGTCCGCCCCCTCGTTGAATATGGACCACAGGCTGATGCGCTGGTCTTTGGATCCAGCAGCCAGCAGTCTCTGTCGGGGGTCCTGGTGGTCAGAGAAGGCCACGCTTAGCACCAGGTCGGTGTGGTACTGAAGCACGGCCAGCGGTCGCAGCTTCTTCCACCCGAATATCCGCACCCGATGGTCCCAGCCCGCTGAAGCCAGGAGTTTACCGTCACCCCTGACACACAGCTGGGAAACCCCAGGGTTGACCAGCGTCACAGAGTCCTGGAGCTGCAAAACCACAGAGAGGAAAAGGATTTCAGCCGGGTAGAAAAACCACAGACATATTTAAATGTATTTGAAACTATTTGACGAGTAGCACTTTCGTTGTGGTTATTGTCAAAGAAACCTAAAACCAAAGATTATTAATGCAAATAAGGAGACAAAAATAATCAGACAAACTAATTAGGTCACCGAGTCGATTAATCACTGTCGTCTAGGAAACCGAGTCCAACAAAAACACCGACATGGAGAGCCTATCAGCTGATCTGATGACTGAGCTCTAAGTGTGAGTGTCTGTTGAACCGCTGCGGACTCAATCATCGGCCATAAAACATTACGGCACGAGGGCAGCGAGCAGATCTCTCGGCGTACCGCTATTTGGTTTGGAGTTAGGGGAGGCCTGTTCTGGAAGCGGGGCATGGAGTTACCTTTGTCACAGTTTGCAAGAGAGACCGTCTCGCTGAAATGCTTGTTTGCAGAGGGCCTGTTGCTTTAAACGCCTCTGATGAATTACAGTCGCACTGAAAGGTCCGGTCAGCGGGAGGAGAGACTCCGATAAATACACCGTTGTAGCGTCTGCCTGTGAAAGATTAGCCACAGCTCCTTCTCGCCGTGTCCAAGAACTGTATCAATCTCTCTAAAAGGGGCAACTTTCTGACATATTATAATGAATGGCGGCGGAGATCAATATCTAAAGGGCCCGCTGTGGAGGGCATTCCTGGGGAGAGAACGTGCTTTTCCTGCAAGCTAGGGATCTCTGCAGGACCTGTAGATGGGACACAAACATCTGGATCTGGGAGCTGAAATCAAACTGGACAGCGTATAATTGACTTCATAAGCTGTGTCTAGGGAGACTAATGGCCTGCGATGGGAGGAGACGGTGGAGAATTTATCTGCGTGCTCCTGTTCCGGGCAGGAACCATCCACGAGCCGCATGTGGAAGATATAAGCCAGGTACTCATGGCCCAAGTGGATAAAGTGGAATGCAACAGAGAGGAAAGGCGGGGAGGAATGTCATTGATCAAAACAGAGCGAGCTGTGCAGCGTTTTAAATCTGCTCCGAGCTCCACTTTGAATATAACATTTGTCATATTTTATGGTACTCAGTTTCTTACAGATTTACATTTTGTGTAAATATGGTGTTTATTTTTTATTTGCAACAAAAGTCTTTTAAAAATACTATTTCTTGCTCCTTTCTAAAAAAAAAAAAAATACATATTCCTCTTTCTGTGTCTTTGAGCGCACCATTTATGTACGTATATATATTTTTTTTTACTTTTTAATGCTATTTTATTTCTATTTCAGAAATATCTTTGGACTGTTTATTTCTTGTGTCTTACATTTTTCTCTTATGTATATTGCCTTATTTTTTATGCTACTGCAACGCAAACATTTCTCAGATTGGGATCAATAAAGTACTTATCTATCTATATTTTTACATACCTACCTACCTACCTACCTACCTACCTACCTACCTACCTATCTACCTACCTCTATCTATCTATCTATCTATCTATCTATCTATCTATCTATCTATCTATCTATCTATCTATCTATCTATCTATCTATCTATCTATCTATCTATCTATCTATCTATCTATCTATCTACCTATATCTATCTATCTATCCATCTATCCATCTATCTATCTATCTATCTATCTATCTATCTATCTATCTATCCATCTATCTATCTATCTACCTATATCTATCTACCATACATTGATTTATTTGTGGCGG